CCATTGCATAGTTGAATACCCTGCCGACAAGGTCTCGGGATGAGGCGGGTGCCAACGGTGGCTACTCACAAAGTAGGCGCCTCTGATGAGGTTGTAGTATCGCTCGCGCAATATCAGGTCCTCGCGAGCCTGTAGGGTTGCGCCGGATGGCGTGAAAAATGAATGATGGCGAAGCTCAACTTCCACACTTCCACACTCTGACCTTCCCATTGCATAGTTGAATACCCTGCCGACAAGGTCTCGGGATGAGGCGGGTGCCTACGGTGGCTACTCACAAAGTAGGCGCCTCTGACGAGGTTGTAGTCACGCTCGCGCAATATCAGGTCCTCGCGAGCCTGTAGGGTTGCGCCGGATGGCGTGAAAAATGAATGATCACGACGAAACGGCACCGAATATGGACATGGACGACCCCCATGAATTAGTGAGCACCGTACTTCGTCTGCAGAAAGATAACGGGATAACAAAGCCAGCGTGCGTTCCATGTCCGACATCAGGTACTTGCATGTGTTAGTGCAGGCAACAACACTATACCACCGCCTTCGTTTCCCCATCGCTTCGGGCCACTGGTAGGGTACGCTCAGGGTATGGCACAATGAAACATTACATTACCCGAACCGCTCAACCTCCTTTCATTCTTGCCAACGACCAACCGCAATGTAACGTTCGCGTTCTTACCTTCTTCACCTCGGCATTCATGTCACGGAGGAGAGCATCCTCCTGGTCCGGTTTCTGCTTTGCTACGTTGAGCACGGAAACAGCCTCCCGGTAGGTGTCCGTCGCGCTCCGTAGCCTGTCCTCGAACCGCTGCACGGCGAGGGCGTTCATGTCTACTGCCCTGTCAGGGGACATCGCCACGAAGTGGTTCAGAGTTGGCAATCCACTCATGCCCACTTGTTGCACCAAACCGGCTGCATCCGTGAAGGTCGGCAGGTAGTTCGCAGTTGAATAGGTTGTGAACACGGCATAGACCGGATCACGCGAAGGACCTGCTTGATACAGGGGTCGGAAGAGAGTGTGTCCCCACCACCCTCCGAACGAGATGTTCACGCTGTGGTCTGCGTGTTCATGCACAACGGGCACGCGAGCACGCGGGAAAAAACGGGAAAAAAATGCGCATCATTGCCGATCATTGAAAACCGGTATACAATTGACTGAATTTCTTGTGGAAATAAGGGGAGCGCTAACGGACGGGGCGAGCCCAGGACGAAGAGAAAAACACTCGACAGTTTCTACCCAGTGTCACGCGCTGCTCCTGAAGTGACGAAACCTTGGGACCCATACCCCCTAGTAGTGTGGAAAGCATCATCAGTGGAGACGTCAAGCTCAATCAGCGCTGCAGATTTCGTACACGGCCCGCTTGGCTCATCTCGTGGTAGCGGCCGTTAAAACGTCGACAGTCTGTCCGACGAGAGGCGTAAACCGTCACACAACGCGTCGTGACGCACGCATCCAACCCGCAACGGTCCCCAAACTAGCCCAAAATCGGGTCTACATCACTGCCGCGGAACGCGTACGAAACGCCGCACAAGATATTCTCTTTGCGTTTTTCTCTCGACAGCTTGAGACCTTATCTGGACTTCATACGTTAACTTCGGCCGCAAACTGAACACGCACTTACATGGAACAAAGACACGGATCGGCGCCTGGATAACCGTTGCCAGGATTGGCAGCACGAACTGCTGGAGCCATTGTCCCTTGACGGCTATGTTGTGTAGCTGTGCAACGAAGAACAGCCGCGCGGTCTCACGCGAACCAACACGGGCTTTGTCGATCGTGTCGGGCTCAACACACCACCCGGCAGCGGTGAGTCTGTCATTAACATCACCAGTGTAGTTGTCCCAGCAGCAGAAGATATCCTCCTGAAGGGACAAATATGCCTCCATGTGCCGAAGCCCTTCAAGGACGACGCTCAGCCGCAGCTTCGCGGCCAACTGTGGGACGGCGGCCCTTACCGCCCGCCCCTCCGCCCTCACATACTGCAGCGCAACCGCGTTCAACAGGCAGTTGCCGTCACCTAGCGTGATGAACGGTGTGCCGGTGCCTCCGCCGTCTTCTGGGTGTGTCCCCTGCATAAGGGCTGCCGTGTACATGTCCTCGTCGAGACCTTTCGCGACTAGCTCCGCTCTTGTCTGCGCGACACAATCCACGGCGGTATAGAAGCGCACATCAGGGACGCATCAGGCTAGGTGAACTAAATGAACCGCACACGAATGGTGACAGAAATCAGAAAGGTAATCGGACTAAGGGGTAGAACGGTTTGCGCCGACACAACGTTGTGAGTGCCAGCGTGAGTGGCTCAGCGGCTTCCAACACTGTACGATTGGCGCGCAAATTCGCTAACCTTTCGGCAACTTCGGCAAACAAACATCCCAGGTCATTTCACCCTCACGGGGTAAAACATAGTGTCAGTACCGGTGGGTCCTTCTCACACTTACCCCCACGTAAACGGAAGAGAGGGAGGAAGTACCGAGGAAGCATTCTTCAACTACAGAGGCAGTACATACAACGGCAACAGTAGGCATCGGCGACATGCAATCGCAATCTGTCCTAACCCAAGATATCTTGTCTACATTGCCTGCTACGACGCCAGTGCGGCTGTCGGGAGTGCCGCGCCGCAAGAAATCCGCCACACTCTATCCTTCCTTATCGGTGCAATAATTCAAGAATTCGCTGAGAATTTTTGTACCTCGGTACCTCGGATTTGTGGCAGATTTGCGGCAATTGCGGAGGAATTCTCCACTGCAAAACGCGGGACAATCAGCATGATCACAGCAGCACAGCAGCGTAGTGTTGGAACCGGTTCTGCATGACACACCTGGGACGATGGGGGGAGAGGGTGCGTGAGAATTGGATCTCTAACCTTCGCCACCTGATCCTTTGCCTCCTTCAGCGCACGGTCATCAACCGCTAGGCCGTGCGAGCTCCCCTTGACTCTCTGCAGTGTTGGTGCGAGGTGCTCCCGCACTTGAGCCAATGCCGCGTAGTGAGGATTGGCCGTCCTCGTGTCGAGTAAGCTCGACCTCGCAGGCATTTTAACTGATGTTTGCGTGTTTGTGGGCGTCCACGTGGTCCGCGTGGGGGCGTTCCTGTCGGGATGCGAGTAGGCGCAGGCGCGAACCTCTGCGTACCTGGTGCCGCGGACCCCTACACTTCTATTTGAATTTTTCAGTGACCGCCCCCCCCTCGTTCGCGTCATGAATGTACATAGTAACGTAGTTTAGATGATTTTACGATATATGTAAATCCACCTTGTCTCGAAAATACTATACCAGTGCGGCTGCGTACATCGGAAACGTGGCGGGGGGCACCGAATACGCCGTGTGGTGTTTTCTTCGTGTTTTCGTTTCTGAGGTATGCTCAACAGGCAACTCAAACGGAACAACAACTACGCACAGTGTGAACTGCGGTGCCCCTTTGTCGATCAATTCTTTACTTATAAACCACTACCAATGGACACAGACCTCTACCGCCACTTGAACAGTAGCTATGGGCCATACCAATGTAGTGCACGTGGTGTGGTGTCCATCGGCGCCGTGTGTGGCGAGAAACGGGCGGGGTCGTATGCATATATAATAAGCTTATCTACGACACCGCCCTCGGGGATACCGTCCCGGCGGGTGTAGGCCTACCATGGCACTGACTGATTGGATTTCGCCTCACAGCGGCTTGAACAATAGCTATGGACCATAACAATGTAGTGCACGTGGTGTGGTGTCCATCGGCGCCGTGTGTGCCAAGAAACGGGCGGTGTCGTATATAAGCTTCTCTACGACACCGCCCTCGGGGACAGTGTCCCGCCGGGTGTAAGGTACCATGGCACTGACTGGGTGGATTTCGCCCCACAGCGGCTTGAACGATAGCTCTGGCCTGTACCTACTCATCGCGAGTGTACGTGCGATCAGGCAATGTCTGTGCAAGGAGTTATGACCGGAACGTCGCTGACACCCCCTCGGTAAGTTGCGGAGCCCCCTATTTTCGGCTCTTTCTCCGCAACCACTTGGCCGATTTGACCCAAAATGGTATGGGCTGATAGCTGCGGGCCGTGGCTACACAGCGCATTTTGTTGTACGCCGATTGGAGTCCTGTGGGCCAAGAAATGGTAGGTGTCGTATATAAGGAAGTACGACACCGGTGTCGTATATAACACTACCGTTTTAACACATCTTCATATTTCTATTCCAAGTCTCTCGCGGTTGGAGTTGCACAGAGTGTGAACCTCTGAGGTAGGCTACACGGCCTATCGGCATCTGCAGCATCGTACTGCTGCTAGTGCAGCCCCTTCACGGTGCCGCGTGCTCACGCCTACGTCACGACCACTCACGAACACCACGGGATCTTGGAGGAGACGAATCAAGCGATCAAAATCCCCAACACCTACGACGAAGCCATGAGCTCTCCCCAGCGCGAAGAATGGAAAGGAGCGTGCAGCAAGGAAATGGACAATCTGCGGAAACACAACGTCTACACTCTGGTGCCCCTCAGCATCGTTCCCAAGAGAGAGAAGATCCTCGGAACGAAATTCGTCTTCAAGAAAAAGCTGGACGGACGCTTCAAAGCTCGCCTGGTAGTCGGAGGACATCGTCAAGAGCCAGGACAGGACTACGGACGCAGCTACGCACCAGTATGCCGTATCGGGAGCATTCGCATGACGTGCGCCATTGGCTGCCACAACAACTGGCCCATCTACCAACTGGACGTTGTCGGTGCCTTCCTGAACGCCCGCTGTGACAGAGATGTGTACGTCAGACCCGCCCCCGGTACATCCGCCAAGAACTCCGCGACGGGAGAACCCATGGTGTACAAACTAGAACGGAGCCTCTACGGCCTATCGCAGTCGCCTGCGCTCTGGAATGACACCCTGGACGAATCCCACACGGTGTTCGGATGGAAAAAGACTCAATCCGACCCCTGCGTGTTCGTGTATATCAGCGGCAACATCATCGTGATTCTCACGGTCTACGTAGACGAAATTCTCATCACAGGAGGAGGAGACCAGCAGCTCGTGGACCAGAAGAACTAGGAGCCCACTGATCGATTCGAGATGACCGACATGGGAGAGGTAAAGCGGATCCTCGGGATCGACGTGCAGCGAGACTACGAGCAAGGAACCCTGGCCATTTCACAGGAGCACTACGTGAACACACTTCTGGAGCGGTTCGGAATGCAAGAGGCCAACCCAGTGAGCACTCCTGGATACGGAGCGGAAATCTCCACGAATCAACCTCAGGACCTAATCCTAGGACCCACGGACAAGAAAATCTACTAGTCGATGACAGGAAGCACCCTCTACCTGGCCCAGTGCGCGCGATTCGACCTCTCCTACGCTGCCCTACAACTTTCCAAGACCTGAGGCAACCCAGCGCAAGTGAACATGACAGCAGCCAAGCACGTTCTGCGATACATTCGGGGTAATCCCGTTCTTCCTATCGTCTACAAGAGAGGACAGTTTCGGCTTGTGGCGTTTACGGATTCATCCTTCGGAGCAAACCCGGACAACGGAAGATCTACCACGGGATATCTCTTCTTTCTGGCTGGAGGACTCATCAGCTACGGTGCGAAGACTCAAACTTTAACCGCGCAAAGCACGGTCGAAGCCGAGATTTAAGCACCTAGCTACTCAGCCAGAGAGGCGGTCTACATCTAAAATTTTATGACGGAACTCAAGTTCAAGACGTTCGGATCGGTTCCCATCAACAGCGACAGCACCGGAGCGCTGACAGTGGCCGGGAATGTCATGCACAAACAACGCACGAAGCACGTGGCCCTGAGGTACTTTTTCATCCGGGAGCTAGTACTACGGGGACAAATCACTCTTTACCACCGGCCCAGCGAGCACCAGTTGGCTGATATCGCGACCAAGTACCTCCCAAAGCACCGATTCGCCTCTATCATTCAGCAGATCAAGGACTTCTCGTGTTGATCGAAGATCTGTGAGCTTCCTTCCATACCCGCCATACCAGAAGGAACTATTTTCGATACGATGCCAACGGACGGGTCGAGGTAGACAAGGATATGGTGATGCGGTCGACCATTGTGAATTAGTTGCTTGATCGAGGGGTCGTGCCAGGAAAAATCGTGCGTCGAGACCACCAGTAGTCGGACACGGTTTGACCTTTGAATACGATTGCAGCAACTAGTCTGCGTAGCAGTAGAAAAGTATCCATCTCTCCTTGGCATGTATTCTCTTGTTCTAGAAATATTCCGGAAGCATGCTAGGTCAAGGTTGACCGGGACATCTATGTAGAACGTGTGTAGCTTCTGGAAGCCTTCTGGAAACTTCTGGTTCCTCCTGTAGCCTCTGGAAGCCTTTCTGGAAACTTCTGGTTCCTTCTGTAAGCTTCTGGAAGCGTTCTAGATCTAGGTTGCAGTTGATACTCTTCTAGAACGTAGGAGGGCTTCCAGAAATCATTCTGGAAGCATTCTGGATCTTTCGTGTGATTGGCTTATTTGTCCGGTATTCGAGAAGAGCGGTGCAGCCCTAAGCTCACCAACCTCTCTCACTCCCCTTCAGTACCAGCAACATCTGACTCGGGAGTCAGCGATAAAAAAAACATCTTCATATTTCTATTCCAAGTCTCTCGCGGTTGGAGCCGCACAGAGTGTGAACCTCTGAGGTAGGCTACACAGCTCATNGATTGGCTTATTTGTCCGGTATTCGAGAAGAGCGGTGCAGCCCTAAGCTCACCAACCTCTCTCACTCCCCTTCAGTACCAGCAACATCTGACTCGGGAGTCAGCGATAAAAAAAACATCTTCATATTTCTATTCCAAGTCTCTCGCGGTTGGAGCCGCACAGAGTGTGAACCTCTGAGGTAGGCTACACAGCTCATCGGCATCTGCAGCATCGTACTGCTGCTAGTGCACAGCGAAATATACGCTGACATAGGCATCAATTTCTCAGGGAGACGGTAGAGAGGAAGAGAGAGAGGTGGAGATAGAGTGACCTTGATTGGAGAGAGAGACGGCGGTGGAGGTGGAGAAAGATTTCCGTTTCGTGAGCTGGTAGAATCTTTGTCGTGGCTAGCGACTCAGACTGCTACTGTACTGCTGTAGGCCAGACATTGCGAATACAGCAGCAGCACTGTAGCTACATTGACATTGCTCACAAGTACTGTAGTCCCAAGCTCCCAAGCATATGTTTTTCTGAACGAAACAACTGCAACGTCCTGATGGCTTCATTATGACCCCCGTCTACATCCAATCTCCCACACTACCGACAGTTAGTTTTGCTAAGCCGCCCACGCGTGACCTATGCATGGTCATGCCCACACCATTGATGATCTGTGAAAATGCAGACTATTCGCCAAGACAATCAAAGGCAAGAAGCCAGACACCATTGCATATGCGGTCTGCATCGGCTCCGTCCTAATACCTACGATGTACGCTTGTTGACAACCAGTGCAAGCGCACATTTTCCCGGTTGCTGCCATTTTCATGCCAACTGGGGCGTTATGGATATATGTTCTTATTAATCAACACCCGCAAAATGGCAACCTACGATGCATACCTCAGGCAATTTAAAATACCAAACCCCCTTGGACCGATATTTAACGATCGACTACATACTCCACGACGAAGAGGACGCCTAAATCAAACCACAATTTTTCGGAAAGATTCCGAGGGGACGATTCCAACACCTCCATTTTCGGCAACGCTTCTCGCTCTTCTGTGGAGTGATCGAGCAATGAAAATCGGTTAGGGGGGATGGTATCGTGTGCCACCTACGGTTGCCTAACGAAACCGTAACATGAAGCCAGCAAAAAACGTATCACATTCACACCGAGCATAATTTACAACAACATCTCATCGTCCGTTGCTCCCCTGGGATACATCGCAACGCAACGAAGTTCTTGAGCACCGGACGTAGCTTTAGTACTACCCCCGGCAATAGTTCCGCGGGGGCAATGCTTCGGTGGCCTAGTTCCAACCCTTCCCTTGACCGTGCGATTCAACCAACATCTCTATCTGTCCCTTTTGGCTGCAACATAACGTCTTGGAGAAAGACTAAAACAAAACTCTTGCGAAAATACGTAGTAACTGGTCCAAACAGCGCCAACAAAAACAATAACAACAACGACGACGACGACGATGACGAAACAACACAACAACCAACCCAGCCACAAGGTCGCGGTCGGGTAGTAAGGAGAATAAAACAAGACGAGCACATCGTTCCAACTCCAAAGTCGGCATCAAAACAGACAGACCACTCTGAGTCTCATGCAAGAAAAAGAGCACGCGCAAATACGCTATCCTAACGCCACACAAGAAACTGAAAAGAGGTATTCACCAGACGTTCCGCCGAAGGACTCAGATCCCCCCGTGCCCTGGCGTAAGGAGGATGTCGTACGAACGAAATCAAAAACGTCATTGGCAGTCAGGCACGCAGGGTAGCGGAGAACGCTGTTCCCGACAATTGTGTCCAAACGCCAGAGTCGGTAATCGGGGTTCCCCGAGCACTAGGCCACCGCCTACAATCCATCTGGTGGTCACACAACATGGACGGCACCTGCACGTGCAGCGAGGTACAGGGCAGCAGGCCTTGGAAAATGATGACAACAGTCCGATGTGGCCGTCATTTTCCGCAGTCGTTGGGAGAAGGCCTCGTACACCTGCAACAATACCGAGTTGAGGCATGTTCGGCGTCCATTCCACACGGCCAGGTGGCGACGCAATCTCCTTGCATATCATCTCGGCCACGCCTACAGCAGGGCTGAACGTGGACGTGAGATGCACGAGCAATGTCAAATCAAGTACTGTCCATGGGATGAACAAGCCACCCTCAACCGTTACTAGTGGCAACAGTGACGTCACCGAAAGGGTAAGCACCAGCGGAACCACTACCTCCACCTCGTGGTTTCCCACAATGCACGCCCCCAGCATCAAACGGATCGTCTGACGAAACACCAGAAACAAAACACCCAGCGGGCGGGTCACGTTCGAAACTTCCCTCAAGCAAAAACCTTCACGCCAAGAACAATACATGCCCCCGTAAATGCAGTAATTAACTCTCCACACCGTTGATTGAATCAAATACGTCCGTGGTAAGAATCAATACGCAGCCGCCGCCCGACGTCCTACAAAGAGAGCCTAGGGCATCTGACACAAACACAACAAGTCGCTTGTGGCCCTGCGAACGGTGGCACTCCGGTAAAAAGCAAACGACGACTTGAAGTTTTCACCCTTCCTTCAACCTCCCGCCGAAACCTACATACAGTCCGCTTTTTGCTCGCAGGTCACAAGAGACCTCTCGGGGACCAATCAATCAATCGGACTGCGACGGACGGATGGTGTTCATAATGTCGTCCGGACGGCCTTGTACCTGTCGAGTAGCAGGAACACGAGGCTTCGAGCTTTGCTTGCTCAACCTCCTAAGACTCCGAAGGCCGCCTGCACTTGACCCAGGGTTGCCACAGTTTCGGAGACCCGAGTCAGCGACGGCGGGATTAGAGGAAATCGAGCCGCCGCGCTCATCCATTTGTCTCGCCGGTGCCCCAAGGACACCGTACAGGACGATGGTATCCAGCGCGATATGAATATGACGAAAAGACCACGATATCACGATGAGGATAACCCTGGAAGACAAAAGTCAGCACAACAAAACGCGGAACCCACGGAAGCCGGGGGGCGTGTCGATGTTACAAGCCAATGGACGGCGCGGGGGGGGTGAGGCATCTTGCGGTTCAACAATGTGGCAGTCGCTCAATGGGTTTCAACGGGCAATACAAGCCTTGCAACATGTCTATTGACATGACTGGTGGGATTAGCTCTGGTGCTTTTCAAGTGCATCTATACATGCAGTTTCGATGTTTTTTGTGCTTCGGAACAACTGCCCCTCGCAGCAGCGAATCGTTTCTATGTAGTGGCTCCTTCTCAGGGCCACGCACGGTGCTCGTCGGTAAATTACCAACACCGCGCATGCCCGAGGACCGCCAGGCATCCGTGGCACGTGCAATCGACACCAAGAGAGACCCCGACCAGCCCCATTTCGCGGGGAGGCATTCCGAACCAAAAAGCCTTTTTCAAAACCACCAAAACAAGTATTCGCCAAAAACAGGAAGAGCTGCGATTTCTTTGCAACGCTTAACGCCCATACGTTGCCACAAGACAATAAGCAACGCGCTACGATACAGAGGAGCGAGCGATCAAACGCAAGAGTGTTTAAGGCAGTAGCACTTGCGGCGAAGGCGCCCCTATAGTAGCCTAGGAGCACACACTCACGCCAACGCGAAAGTCATGTGACAAAAACGATAAATACCCCGAGTCACGCGAATTCTACAGGTTGTACGGACTACCGGCACTAACGATGTAACCGTGGTAACATTGACCGTGTCCTCTTGCGTCGCCCCGGGAGGTAAGTCACCAAACTCCCGAACGGGAGCCATACAGAGGTATGTTTTGATCAATCTGAATCTCAAGGACTGGGCGCCTCACGGAAAGCGGGGCGTTTCCCACAACTTTCAACTCAAGACGATTTCCGGGTCCCCGCAGTAGGACCCCGATCGAATCTCTTTCTTCGCCGGGCCGACTGGGACCGCTTTCTCCGTCACGATTGACTCCGCTGCCCGCCCGAGCCGGAGCTGAGTTATTCCGCAACTTCGTCAAGAGCGCTGCACCCGCACGCTCGCACCTGCATCTACTGTTCAGTCGTTCGTAAGCTTCGCGACACTGATTGGACGAGACACCCGAACCTACATCCCATGCTTTCATCGTGCTTTTTCGCAAAGAGCTTGCTGTGTCCACGCATCACCACACTGTGTTGTTTGCCTTCCTCCGACACCCATACCCATAATCACATCCCCGATGCACACAGCGACTGGTAGACGCACTTAAGTAATGTTGTTGGATTTGTCATATGGCAACCTTTATGTTGCAATCGTGTTGTGATTGAGTCACACCCACGCAACCATGATCTCCCTGGCAAAACCTTCAATCTTCTATGTGATGTTGTCCAGCAGCTTGGAGGTAAAGAGACGCCCAGTGCTTCGTTTTTCTCTTCTGGCCACATTGTTCCAGCAGATAGACACAGCGTGAAGTCATCGCTGCAGCTAGGCGAAGGCCGTCAAGTCTGCGTCGTATTCTCAAACAAGTCCCGCACGAACGACTACGGCTAGTGTGTCAATTAAGGATCTATCTGTCTCACCTCTGGCCTTCTCCGACGATGTACACGGTGCCGAAAATTCCGAGGACAAGATTAACTCCGGTGGCGATGAGAGTCAGGCCGAAGTAGTAGCGGATGCGGGTGTGCACCTTCCAGCACTCCTTGATCTCCTTCATCCGGAACAGCAGCAGCCAGGCCACGATGGCGATCATGCAGATGCCGACGATGAACTCGAACAAGAAGCGGGAGACGACGCTCCAGTCAAGGTCTTGCTACATCGACCGACCACCCACCGACGCACACGAGTATTGAAACGACACAGGTTTAGAGAAGCCGAAATCACAGAAGACACAAACGTGAGACTGAAACATAAACATTCCTCACGCAGAGGGGATTTCTGCATTGCACGTGAAAAATGACACGACCATGTTGTTCGCGAAATAGTAGGTAAATAGTGTCAATGGAGTGGGATCTAACCTTGTCCTCGCTGTATGGAGAAAAGTAAGTACCCGTGAGGATGATGGTTTTCCACGAAGGCACGGCGGCCGCAGCACCTCCGACGGCGAGAACGAGGGACAGCCATATCACCCGGGGCGAGCTGAGGCTGCTGACACGAGACAGCGTCCGATGAGACTGCATTCATGTGGCGGGTCCACAAGAGGGACATCAGGTCACAGACAAAGCGGGAGGGCGGGGATAACGGAAAACAGGGCACCTTCATGGCAAGAAGTTCGGTGGAAATCTCATGAGAGCAGAGGTCCCCAACGGCTGCTAGGTGTGACAGCCTTGGGTGCTTGGTTGTGGTGGTGTCTGAGCGAGATATTCAGCCATGCACGGGGGGGAAAGCACGACCTATGCAACATACTAACGAGGTCATGCGTTAATCCGACCGGTCTATGACAGGAAAATCTTGCATGTATAGCAATCTCATTTCATCCTTCGACCGGAAGAATCATTGGGGTTAGCAGACATCTGCGTCAACCTAAAAGTAGGCATTGCTGCAGCACCTATAAATATAACCATGTGTTATCGCTCAGCACGCGCAGTGGTGCACTGACCATGACGACGAGGGCGAGGTTGACGCAGATGGCGAGGTTGGTGACCGCCAGCATGTTCGCCGAAGCTAGCTCGAGAAACTTCAAGAACTTGATGAGGTTTGAGAGGTTTCCTCCCGCCCAGCAGACCGAAATCATGGTATGCTGTATCAAAATCAGAAGCTGGTAGAGCATACCACTGGATTTGTAGACAAGAGGAACAGCCATCGGTAGCACATCGTAGGGTTTCCATCGTTGCCAAGCACGGGGAATGGGGGGTGGAGGGGGGGGTTGGGAAAGCGGCAAAACATCGTCGTACGCAAAACGTCGTCGTAGGCATACGCACATGGCATCACAAAAAAAATAAACATTGTGTGCACGCACAAATTCAAGATTCTCGATCGCAGCCGGCATATTCGCCGATGGATATCTGTACAAGTGTCTTCAGACTTGCCTCCAAGGGCTTGTCAGCGTACAGAAAGCGAACACATACATCGCATAGGCAAAGATCAATTTGAACTTTGGCCAAGGCTCTCATTCAACACATGCTTCTTTACTACGCCAAGTACGATTGAGACTCGGATCAGATAGTTGTTGCAAGGAGGCGGGGTCACTTTCTTGACCCAATAAATTATTTGGGTTTCTTACGCGGAGGGAAATGTCAATTTCATAGAGCCCAAATTCTCACGGACCGCATATTTCCAAGAATTCCAGCTGGGGAGTGAGAAAATATGCCCATTTTCTCAGTGGATCGGCTCATATTTTCCAGCTAGGAAAAAGGAGGGCATCACACCCCGATCGTGCCAGAACGAGGAAGTACACCGTCTGCGCCCCAAACAGAGTTCAGCACGGTGAGATCATATCAAATTCACGCCATTCTGCGTCAAGTTGGCCGCACACGAGCCGAAATGCGAACACTGCCACATTGCTCTGCCGATGTTCTTGCTTTTCAGTCGATAAGTGCCGTCGTTGTGCCTTCTGCATGTGTGACCAGTCAAAAGCTCTGCCAGAGAAAGGCTATCAACCGACGACATTCACAAACTGCAGTCAACGGCGTGCGGCCATGCACATACCCTCTGCTCGCGTCCCAGAAACAGAGCGCATTGTACAGTTTTGATTGCACACGGCCTGCAAACGTGAATCGACAGCGTGTTTCGGTGTTGAGTTTTCGGACGGTGCCTTTTTTTCTGGTTACTCTGCCCCTGGTAACACTAGTCGCAAGTCATGAGTTCGAATCCCCATGGGGTGAAAATATTACCTCAAGTTTGCGGGTGAAAGCGAAAAGGTTGAGAAAGCTCGTGAGAACCAGAGATCGACGTTGGCAATGTTGACGAGGGACAAGGCCGCATGGACCCTTCTCGCGATAACACCAATATTCAGCACGCACCGCAGGAGGAAGGGGTGGCCCGAAAATAAAAAATGCGTTGGACGAAAAAAGGCCCGGTGTACCCCTCCAAATGTGTGACCCTTCATGGCTGTAGTTGTGCGGAAAAATAGACTGAAAAGTGCAGTACTCTAGATACACTAATACACGTGTGAATACTCAGCTCACCACGAAAAATGAGGGGACTGTCGCTGTAATAAATAGGAAAAAAACACAACAGACTTACAAATACACGCATACCCATTTCCTTATTCTGGAGATTTTCTGGGAGGTGACGGTAGTCTGTATCGTATCTTAAGTACAGCAGCCCCGCGGTGGGAACCTAGTTTGGTAGCGTACCCTATGTGCCACCCTGGATGCTCTCTTGTGAACTCCCAAGCCATGATACTGAAAATAAAAACGGGTGTTATACAGTGCGTATCCAATCAACAAAGAACCTACGCTGCTCAATACATGCGTGAAAGTCACCACTAGTTGTAATAGCAAATCTTGTTTCCCACAGACATGTGCATATATACGCGGCTGGCGTGAAGGTCTAAGCCCCCAGAGAAGCAAATACATAAGGAAAAAAACGGTTCTCGGGGGTGAGTGGGGGAGAATTGGCGTACTGTAATGTTTTGCAAGCCTTCGCGGTTAGCCCATTGACCAAGTGTCCTTGAGAGGACGGAGCATTGTTCCCAAAGGACCGATCACCGATGGCCAACCGTTCCTTCCTATGTTGTCAAAGTTGCCTCAAAAATGTCATCCCTGGTCTATCTATCATATCGATGTCACTTCCCGCCAACCCATTTCCTATGCCCCAGTACAGCTACCTTCTTGTCCTTGCTATTCCATGCCTCAAACACCTCCCTGTACCTTCCCCGTCTACTTTTCCCAGCTCAGTCATGTACACTTCCCTCTCGTTGTAGGACCGACATTCCGCGAGTAGATGGACCCGGTATTCGCACTCTGAGTAGCAATCACATTTGAACTTGTCGTCTTCATCGTCTACCATGCTAAATCTTCGTCTAATTTCTAAGGCCGACGTTCCCGGTCCTGAAATTGAAGTGCAGCTTTGTCCAAGCATTCATTGGTCCATGTAGGTACTCCTAGAACCCTGTTCCTTCTTTCAACATTCCGTACATGTGTACGCCTTCCTCGGTTTCTATTCTTAAGACTGAGAGAGAAAAGCAACAGATATCTTCTCCTTGAACCTCTTTAGACCCTCCGTTTTTGGCGTTTCACCTTCGTCAACTTCGAACCCCTTCCTTACATCAACTGAAACCTTGACCCACTTCATCGGTTCCTATCCCCCGTCTTGTTTGCCCACTCGGCCTCCCAAGCGATTCTCGGTGACCTCTCCTCTCCCGTACCGAACATACTGCCGTGTCAGCTTCCTCGCGTCTCTTCCCGGTCGTAGGGATCGGATTCCCAGTTCTGCCCTCCTGACGGCTGCATGACTTGTGCGCTTGGAGGATCCTAGGATGACTTTCGCCGCGTTCATCTCGGCCGCCTCGAGCTCTTTGACTACCTTCTTCTTTCCTTCCCATACTTCTCCGGCGCACTCTAGCGGCGGTACGACTACGCTCTTCAAAGCCGCCAATTTGATGGTCCTCCGGGGTGGGGAGGTACCTCGGCGTGCCTTATGACGTTTTCACGTGCACCTTATTTCTTACTTGTAGTTCGTGATTGTCGCTCACCGTTAGATTTAATTCCGTATGCAAATAATTGCGCTCACATAGCACGAGCTACTCCAGGACTGCCTTGCGACCTTCGCCCGAAGCCATAAATAAAAAAAAAAACGGGTTCGGGCAAACAAAATAATGGTAGCTGACCCGCCCAATCAACATGCGCATGTATATACGTGAAACATCGTCACCACAGTATGTCACCACAGTATGCAGTGCGGTGCCGGCCCGCTCGTGAGAAAAACTTCCGTAAGAAATCGAGGCTCAGAGTTTTGACCATTTTAACACAACGTGGTGCGATCATCCCCCTTGGGCGGAATGAGGGTTCTCTACCTCGCATAACATGATCTACTCGACCACCATGATGGTTCCCGCCAAAAAAAACAGAGGTGAAAAATAAGGTAACCTGGTTGCCGAGTTCACGAGGTGAGTTTGCTTGTTTTACAACGTCGTTGCCAAGCGACGAAAACCCAACCCCGATGGAAAACACCGGGGTGGGGTGGTGGTGGTGGGGGGGGTGTACTCATAGTCGTGCATGCCGTAGTCGTTAGACCATTGACCTCGCATCCCTACAAAGCCGGGACGGAGCACGCCGGGTTCTCACCGGACCAGGCTCTCACATCACCAAGCGCGAAGCGCCGTGAGATATTCGGCGAGTCGCATGAAGGGTGCGCTGCATCCTGCTTAGGGTGTTCGGCACCTTGTGCTTACTTCCTTGCGTAGGGATGACAGCTGCGTAAGACTTTATATATTTTCTGGTGCTTTCACTTCCCGAGACAGTTATAAGTACTGTGTTACTGCCTCGAGGATGCTATACCATTTTAACACAACGGGGTTCGATCATCTCCCTTGCGCAGAGTGAGGGTTCTCGACACCGAACAACATGATCTACTCGACCACCATTATGGGTACCGCAAACAAAAACAGAGGTGGAAAAAAAACGGCAACGTGGCTGCCGTGGTCACGAGGTCAATTGGCTTGTTTGACAACGTCGTTGCCAAGCGACGAAAACCCAATCCCGATGGCAAACACCGGGGGGGGCGGCTTGTTTTACAACGTCGTTGCCAAGCGACGAAAACCCAACCCCGATGGCAAACACCGGAAGGTGGGGGGGTCCGAATTCACGAAGTGAATTGGCTTGTTTTACAACGTC